GCATACGATCTCTTGGAAATGGCCTTTGTGGCGAATGGATTTGCACAGCAAATCGTGAATCCGGATTCATTTATCCAGAAAAAAATGTTTCTTGATTGTCCAGAAGAAGATGTGGACCAAGGACTGCAGTGGTATAACACATCAGTCATCGCTCCTTCCTTGATATCATGTCCTGTTTACTCTTACTCCTTTTTCGGGGTGTTGAACTCACCGGCCTGTTGGCAATGAGCGACACGGCGAATGTATTTCCCAAGTGGCGTAAATTGCGCTGTGGTCCGTGGAGTGATTATCAGCAATGAAATCGAAGTCCATAATGAAAGGAGAGTCGCGGACCGTCATAATCTTGCAGGCTGTGTGCATAGTCGATTGGGAAATCATAAATCATGGTCAATCATGATCACTGAAATCACAGTTAATCATGAAAAGACACGAAAGAGAGAGTCGCATTCCTCTTCTTAATCAACAGATAATCACGAAAAGACACAGAATAGAGAGTCACATTCCTCTTCTTTTCCTTTTCTTTTTTTTTTCTTTTTTTTTTCTTTTTTTTTTTTCTGCCCCCCCCAGGGAATTCCAACTTTATTATGCATGCTGGAAACCGGGTCCAGCGTCCCTCGCATGGATGACCCACACAACGTCCCCTTGCATGGATGATCCGCACAAGCGCGGACATGTACAAAATACAAGTCCCGAGAGCCCACACAAGCCAGTTGAACAAGGAGACACACACCCCGCCCCGATCACTATAAAGAAAGATCCAGTGGAATTGGCTTGGAATCTATGATACAATAATCTTAGGGGTTAACCTCTCTACTTTATGGAAAGCAAGCTCACCACACTAGTCCCGAGGAAGGTAAGAGTGACGGAGACCGAAGAATTTATGTATATGATATTCGCACCCACAACGGCAATACAGGACTTGGAGACGTATCCAGTGGAATCAGCTTGGAATCTCAGGACGGGAAGAGGAATCAACGTGCTGCATTATACAACAACGTTATAGTGGAGGCAGGTGTCTTTGGAAAAAGGTAGCGAGGCTACCTTGGTCTTTCCTGCAAACTACTTTAATAAAGTTTAATTAGGCTGGTAAGCCCGGTAGTTAATGTCAACTTGAAGAGCATGCATGTAACCAGCGCCTCAGCTTAATTTTCAGTCGGTTTGGTGACACTGCCAGTCAACGCACGGTGGTTCCAAACGTGCACTGGCATAGAGATCTTATTGCCAACCGTGCACTGCCAATGTCTTACCAGTAGGTTTGCCTTCAAGAGATCTCTATGCCAGTGCACCGACATAAAGATCGTACCGAACGTGCAGGTCTTGTCTTTGTTTCACTATTTGCTTTACCTTTTATTAACACTTCATATGTATGAAGTTCAACTGTTAGACCCATTCATCAAAAACTTTTTGGGTTACTTGCTGGCATAGAGAGATCTTACCAAACAGACTGGTAAGACATTGGCAGTCGACACACGGCGGTTCCAAACGTACGAGCGGCGCCGATTGCAAACGTGCACCTACAACATAGAGATCGTAGCTGTCTCAAACGTGCACGCAGTGCAGGGAAGGGACAGCAGCGGCGATGGTGCACTGCCTCCTCTTCTTCTTCTTCTCCTTGTTTGTTTGTTTGTTTGTTTGTTTGTTTGTTTGTTTGTTTTTTTTTTTTTGTGGAATGCCCAGAAGCGATATATCTATGGGGAGGGAAGCCAGGGCACTGTGGGGGGGAAGAAAGGATATTCTCTTGCGGGAAGGCAGGAGGATGCTTTTGGTGGGAAGTGAGGTGCCGCGGAGATGGCAACATGGCAACAACAGCAGAAGTGCATCTTTCAGCTGCTAAGGCAGTTTGCGCTGTGTCTTTGGACGATATGGAAGCGCAGGTGCCAGTAGGCGATAGGGAGAAAACAAATGCACAGATAGGAAGCGAGAGGGAGATTTGTCACAGCCTGCTGGAAACAGACACACGGGTGCAATGATGGCGGAGGACACGTAGGCAGGCAAACCAGAACCCGGCTCAGGCCAACGAACGAGTAATGGGCAGGCTCCAGAAAAAAAAAGGTAGGTACAACTATAGAAGCAAACGGCTTTTTTATTCCAATGGTTTAGGGATGCACAGTCTCAGACCTTGTTAGAGACGCGGAATGGGGGTTGGTCCCAAATAGGACATATTTAAATAGGCTTCGAAATGGATCCGCAAAATTTCGGGACAAGATTGGCTGAAGAGGGTAGAGAAAAAAAGTAGCTAAGAAGTTCACGAGGGAAGTAGAAGCGATAGGGGGAGTTCGGGTTTAGGGTTGTAGGTTTAAGTTAGGTTAGGCGTTATAGGCCAAAGCTGGTTATTTTTTCATCCTTCTCGTGAAACGGTTTTCACCTTTGCAGTAGCAGATGTAGATGTAGATCCCAGGGCTCAATCCTAGACCTTGTCCTCACCCGTGTACAGTAGTACCAAGTCGACCCCGGCGTGTTTGAACCCGTGACCTGTATCTTAGCAGTTGGCTGTTGTCTGTCGTAGGTCTGTGTAGTTGTCGGGTTTTGAACCGTAGGTCTGTCAAGCAGGGGTCGTAGCTGTGTAGAAGTCGTAGCTGCCACAGTCCTGAAAGCTCAAGGTCGTAGCTGCTACAGTCCCGAAAGGCCAAGTCTACAGACTTCCGGAAGGTGGCCTTTCAAGAGTGGCCAGAGTCAGGCCAGAGGCAAGTGGGCAAGTGGACAGTCCAACCTTGTCTAGTCAGTGGTACCCGGTCCCAGTTGCACTTTGTCCAGTCAGCAAGTACCATGTGGGACTGTGTGCACCCTAGGCCCGGTGGAAAGGAGCAGAGCAGCGACCAACAGAAGTATAAATCAAGAGGCAGCGTCCAGTTATTCATGCATTCAGACTGCGAGCCGTGCGGAAGCACTGCCAGAGCGACTTGTGCAAGGAGGTCTGCAGGTGCCCGAGGGAGAAGAGGGCTGCGAGGGAGACGAAGCGGTCATAGCTGCTAAGTAGTGGTAGAGGTGGCAAGCAGACATAGCTGCGCTAGGTTAGAGATAGTCTACAGCGTGTTTGTGTACGAGTATGCAGTGAGTTGTGTGCGTGTGCGGGACATTCAGGGAGATCCGGAGTAGCATGCGTGTGGACTGTTGCTGGGGATACAACCTGGAAGGGTGATGTGAGGGCGCTCAGGCGCCATAGCCATTTCGAAGCAAGTTGAATCTGAACTGTGTTCTTAGCCATGATTTCCCCGAGTTTGGTGTGGCCGCTTGTCGCCAGTGTGATTGGCATATGTTTCATGCATGCTAAGTAAGAAAGGAGGCGAGTATGATTGCCCTCAGGTCCCTTGTTGGGTCCTGTCAAAAGCATTAACTCTAGATAATGCTCCCAGTTCCAGCCTTTATGTGGGGCGGCCGGCCCCTCTCCTCCAATTAAGCAATGGAAGCATTTTTTTTTTCCGTGAAAGTAAAATAAAATAAAATAAAATAAAATAAAATTTCATATCATGTCGCCAACAGTCGAGAGAGCAAGCATAACTCTACTAATGTGCAAAGATCACCTTCAACCACCACTGCCTTACCCGCTGTTGGGAAAATGGGAAAATATTAAAATAATAAAAATATAATACTCCTAGAAAATCGGGGACTGGGCCTGACGATGACCGCCGTTGATAAATCTCATCGCCGGTCGTCGTCATTTTGTTTCGGCCTCCTAAAAGATCGGAGGCCCACCCGATCAATGCCCACATGGGAAAAGGTAGTGGTGCTTCACGAAAACAGGATTTGGATTTGCCAAAGACGAAGAGAAGGCGCATGCATGTGTCGAAAGTGGAGAGATCAGCAACCTTTCAAGTCTTGTTCATGGGAGGAATCACGCACTCGAAGGTAAAAGACAAATGAGGTCAACGAGAGGAGGGGAGGAAAAAGAATAACTAATACATAGGCACAACCACACCAATTCTGCAACTCGCATTGGACCGAAAGCAGGTCGAGAAGAATTTAAAAGTTGTCAAAAAGACCCATGAGTATAGCTCCTTTTTTTTTTTTTTTTTTTTTTTTTAATCCCGTACACTCGAAAACTCCCTCCAGTGCTAGTGGTGCTGGTAAACGCAGACGCCACTAGCACGGGGGGAGAGGCTCCATCTATTGGTGGGGAGCATCACCTGCTTGCTGGAAAGCGGGTCCAGCATCCCTTATACAGAATGATTCGGAAAACAGTCAGGAAAAACCGGAAAAAAAATCAGTCAGGAAGTAACTGGAAAAAAAGTGGGTACAGTGGTACACCCATGAACTGTTGAAATACAGACGCGCGTTCGAATCCAGGTGATGGAAGTTGATGAGTAAAGCCAAATATTTCTGGATTGCCTGGGCCCGGTCAGCTCAATGATGCTATCTGGAGACCGTCGCCCTTTTAGAAAAAAAAAAGTTGCGGAAAAAAATCCCCAAAGGCTTCTCCACCTCTCTTAACTTACCATCCCGATCTCACCGAAGCAACGCAAGCTTTATAATAATGCTCTCAAAGACCTTCAGTCAAAGCGAGGGAGTCACAGTAGCGAATCTGTCATCACCCTCACAAGGCAAATACGCAAGCATCCCAAACACAGCAACCCCTTCAGTGTAACTCTTGGCGCTATGGGACCTGGGTGCAGTACTACATGGGTTCACTATGGCAGTACATGGGGTGGATGTGGTGCTAAGTAGGTTGGATATTGTACTATGTGAGCTGAGTTGTGCAGTACTAGTGGGCTGGTATGGTGCAGTACATATCATGTGAGCTGGATTTCAAGGCAGTACTACGCAGATTGTGCGTGGTGTTATGCAGATTGGGAGGAGTGTTACGCGTGTTGGGTATGTTGCTATGCAGGTTCATCACTCTCTCTCTCTCTCTCTCTCTCTCTCTCTCTCTCTCTCTCTCTCTCTCTCTCTCTCTCTCTCTCTCTC